GCATTCTGGGGGAACACCAATCATTCACGTTGAGGATTGTTTGGATGTAAAATATTCTTCTTTTCTGCAGAAAATTAAAAAAAATGTATATCAAACCATGGATGAGAATCTATTAACAATTGAGCCCACTGTCAAGTATTGTGAAATTTTCTGCTACCCACCTATTAAATACGAGACTTAAAGTGCATTCCTCTTGATTTAACCTAGGACTTCACTTGGAAGAAATCAGGAGCATCACAGGCTACTTCAATTGGTACCCTTGATTCCTTTTCCAGTAATGAAGTCATGGATGGAATCAAAGGGCAACGCTCTGAGACCAATATTTGAAAGGTGGGTAATCACAATATCTTGAAAGAGGTGTTACAACCTAATCCAATGGAAAAGATGAATTCTTCTCTGCAAACTTATACTAACAATTGCGTGTGAATGCTTCAGTCTCCCCTGTCGTCATGCATCTCATCGTGTTATGTAATTCACATAACATTGCTTTGTTTTACTACTTTAAAATTTCAACTCTAACTCATGACGTTGTTTGTTATGTTCCTGCAGAGCGACCACCATCAGTACCACCACTTGACTGGCCACTAGGAAGAGAATCGCACTAGGGTCTGCGAAGGGCCTTTCATATTACATGATCATTGTCATCCAAAGATCATTCATCGTGATGTGAAAGCCTCAAAATATTTGTTGGATGAGGAGTTTGAGGCTGTTGTCGGTGATTTTGGTTTGGCAATACCTATGGATTACGAAGATACCCATGCACTACTACTGCACATGGCACCATTGGGTATATTGCTCCTGAGTATTTCACCACGGGGAAGTCATCAGAGAAAACTGACGTGTTTGCTTATGGTAGTATGCTTTTAGAGCTAATCACTGGGCGTAGGCCATTAGATCTTGCTAGGCTTGCAGAAGCTGATGATGTCATGCTGCTTGATTGGGTAAGTACTGTATGCGTTAATCAAGCCAATTGCTTCATAGGCTTAGGTATCAGAGTCTACTGTCAAATCAGTATTCATTATAGAAATCGTAAAGGTTCTGCTTTTTACTGGAAATTTTTCCAATACTTGGTTTGACATGCATCTGCATAATATCAGGTTAGAGGATTCCTAAAAGAGAAGAAATTGGAATGCTTGTTGATCCTGCCTGCTGAACAACTACATTGATATTAAAGTTGAGCCGCTCGTCCAACTTGCACTTCTTTGCACACAGGGCTCCTCCTCGGAACGACCTAAGATGTCCCAGGTTGTCAGAATGCTGAAGGTGAGGCTTAGAAGAAAAATGGGAGGAGTGGCAAGAGGGTGAGTCGGTTCACCGAGGGGTGTGGCTGTACCAAGAGGTTAACGCATCCACACGAAACCTTGTTTGAACGTGAATCATTTGCTATACCAAAAATCTTCATGTTTTAGAGCTATCACGTCCATGATAATCTTATAGAATGGTTAAAAAGGAAATCAATTACCTTTTTGGCGCTTTTTATAGACACTTATCATTCATTCTTTTGTAAATTGGTCCTAAATCTTTGCATGGTCAATTCTGGGAATAGAGTTCTGACTTGTGGGATTAAAGATTTTGCAATAACTGTGACTGAGACAATATTAACTCTGTTAAATTCTGTTATTATTTACTACTTTTTTTTTTGCCCTTTTGGAGAGCCACCCCTAGTTCCCTCACCCTTGCAGGTTGCAGCCACCACTCTCCCCACTACCGCCCTCACAGCACCCCTTGGCCACTCAACCACAACCCCCCACGCAAGCCATAAATAATCTAAAGATACATAGGAGAGGAGAGATTCACAAATGACATAAATTCATTGAGGGTGATAATACCACAGTAATATTTTAAATTTTTCTTGATTTTGTGTTTATTTCTTATTACAATTTTTATGTTATTTTTTTTCTTTTTGTTCAACAAAGCTGAAAATACAATTTACCTCTCGATCTTTAACGAAGTGAATATCGGGGTAGTATAGATGCATTTTAAAGGGGGAGCTTGATTAAAAAGGAAAAGTTATCGCCTAAGTAACTACTTCGAAAAAAAATAGGGGTTGTGATGATATTTCATCTTTGTTTTAAAATAGAAATAACAATCAAATCTTTTTCTTAAAAAAACAAAAAAAAAAAAAAAAAAAAAAAAAAAAAAAAATCATTTAGCTACAATAATTTATTATACTATACTCTACTTCTAAGAACCTTATTGAGACTTTTTAAATTATTTAATTATTTTAAAAAATCTCATGTATTTCCAAATTTCTTGTTTCATACTATTCCATATCGAATAGGAATTTAAATCTTTATATTATAATTATAATTCGTATATCAATTCTTGTTAAACTAGAATTATGAATTCATTTGCATGATTGTCTAATGTCTATATTGAAATAGACTAAGAATATTAATTAAGATTCAATAATTGAGGATTTTTACTTTTTAAAGCACCGTAGAGCACAATTTCAATACTGATCTACTTCATTAGCAATGTACCCTTTCATTTACTTTATTTATATAACTAGCATTTCTTCACAATGAAAAAACAAATTTGGAAGGGTAAGGCTCATTGTATCCCCTAATAGGTGTATGATCTTTATTATATTATTAAAAGTTTTTCATATATATAAAATTAAGTTTTACTTTGAAAAAAAAAATTGCAGCCCTCTCCGAAACAAAATCCTGGTTCTGCCCCTGAAAAAAATGGATTACAAAATGAAAGATGCATAGAAAAAAAATAATTTTTTTATTATGTAAAATAAAAATTAAGGTTTGTGTAATAATTGAATATCGTAAATATAGTTATTATTTGCAATAATAAAGACTCTCACATAAAAAAAATATCCTATCGAAATGAGGGTTGCCTCATTGAACTAACCCAATAACATCGATAGATACAATCAAGGGCTAATTTTTTTCGAAAAAAGAAATAAAAGAAAATCAATTGAACTCTCTTATTGAAAACAATATTAAAATTAAATATAAATTATTACACGAATAAAGTGATATACTCTTATCTTTTTCAATTGTACTAGATTGAGTAAACAACATGTTCCCACCCAAAGTTTCGAGAATCTTGGTGCCCACCCCTGGTTTTATAAATTCCAAATTCCCACCCTTAAATCAACAATTGTTATTAATTTTTGGGGTCTAATAAGTGCTATTACTAAATTACCCTTGATGGATAAATTCTTTTGACCCCCAATTAGCAGAATTAAAATGACCATCTTATTTTTAAATTTATTTCAACAACACCCCCTTCTTCAACCAATCACTTCATCCCCATCTCCAACCACCCATCCACTGCTGCCACCGCCGCCACCGCCACCACTGCCACCGCCACCCAGCCACTACCACCACAGCCACCTAGCCACTATCACCATCTGGCCAAATTAATAAAATATAGTATGAAGTTTAGTAAATCCAACCAACCCATCATTTCCTAATTTCTTCCCAAATCACAATGGACTTTATGCTGTGCTAACAAACCTCCTATTGTTCTCTCTCTCGACTTGCTATGATTTTAACCTTTGAATTTTATTCTCAAATACCTCCAATTCAACTCATCTTTCCTCTCCCAAATTCATCTGTAACTCCGCCACCTTCGCATTCCAAGTCTCTATAGTATGATTCCTATTATGCACATCATCTGTTCTATGTAAATTCTCTATTAAAAAAGAATTAAAATCTCGCATTGTATTTCTTAAATTATTTATTCTTCTCGTAAATTTGAGACTAGGATAGTGGTATTGTTCACAAGGTTAGATTTATTACGATGGTTTTGAGGAAGAAAATATATTTATGGATAAATGTTTTGGTAGGGTTGGGTGGTGGCTTTGGGTGAGGAATTTTGTCAAACAGGTGGTGGGCGGGGTGGCTATGGGAAGGTTGGAAATGATAGGGAATTGCCAGCGACCAGGTAATTACACACAACACACTTCAAACAGCAAACCACAGATCAACATCAAAGAAATCCGACGATTTGCAAAGACTTGGAATGCGGAAAGATGAGTGGAATTGGAGGTATTAGAGAATAAAAGAGACGGGTTTTGGTGAGGGTGATGTGAGGATTCAGATGGAAGTGTTAGGGGGGTTTGGTGGTGTCGAAATCTGGTTAGATCAAGCTTGAATGGCGGTTGAATGGGTGGAGATGGTTCACGAGAACGGTGCAAATCCGGCCAGAAAAATTTGTATGCTTAACAAGGCTACAACATGAATTCTTTTTTATGGATGAATAATGTAATTTACAGTTCTCAATTTTTATATGATACCATTTCAGATTTTTCATGGTTATGTTGCCATGGAAGTGTTCTTTTCCTTTTTAATTATTTTATATATGTGTTTTTATAGATATAGTGTTAATATCTCACCTGTTGAGATTATTCCAGATTTGTAAGGAGCAAACAAGGAGGACAGGAGAAAAAAGAAAGGCTCAGATCCGGCCAGATGTAAAGGGTGATGAGGGGTGCTTGTGAAAGAAATTTGAGATGTAAAGGGTTAACATAAAATTTTCATTTTTAATTTAAGATTTAATGCAGTTTAAATTATCATTTTACTCTTTAAACGTTAGGTTAAATGATTTTCTGTTAATTTAAGGGTGAGAATTGGAATGAATGAAACCAGGGGTGGAAACAAAATTGCGCTAATCTTTGGGTGGGAACAGTTTGTTTACTCTACTAGATTTTCAACTGTGGGTTTCCAAAATTATTATGAAATGTGATTGTCTCTATCTTTGGTCATTTTCCATATTTAATAAGAAAATATCTCAACTTTAATTCCATTTCTTACTTATTCTTTTGCTACTGGATCGGCCCTTGATATTAATTTTAAACGTTTGTAGATCCCATAAAATTGTAACAATCTCAATTACTCACAAGCTTTTCAAAGTTCAACATAAAGTCATAAAGATTAAAGTCTTCCCAATCTTGATATAAACATTGTTTTGTTCAAACACATGATATCGATACAATATATGATACATAACCTTAAAAAACGAAGAACCAATCTTATATATATATATCATTGCCAAACCAACCAAAATTAGATTTCAAACCCAGATGTTAATCTTACTCTGGCAACTTTACATAAGGTAAGAGTTCCTCATTGTAGTAAATAATTAATCTGAATTGCAAGCATTAAGAGTTCATAACAAAGTATATAACTATATAATCTCATATAGATAATTTTTTTTTTTCCTTAACGCCTAACCCGATTTCCCAAATACAACTCAAAATCTCCCTAACCTTAACATAAGCATCATCTTACTCGAACCCAAAACCTTCCCAATCTTGATGTAAGCTCATTTCACTTGAACTTAAAACCTTCTGATACACTTACAAGAGATCTTACTGGTTAAGCAGACCAACAACACTAGCAATAGGTATGTGTATGGTATCAATACTATATATTACAGACAACCTTCAAAATGGGAAACCCATATCTTTCTATATATATACATAGTTGATTAATTAGATAATTTTTAATGTTATATTAGGGTTTCAAATGTCATCCGACCAATCATTGATCTCGTTCTCGTAAAACAAACCATCAACAATCTGGTCGATTAGTGAATCAATGAAAGTGTTGCAGCTTAGAGAAAAGATCCGACCTACTCGATTTCGAGCGCTCGAGAACCAGGCAAAAATGGCAGCAAATGTTATAGCTCCCAAACACACTCCTCCTGCTTCTGCAATCCTTTGAACATCTATCTTTCCGAACAAGGAATTCCCAGTCACTGCCTCTTCTGTCACTGTTGCTACAAATACAATCTAAAGAAGAGAATAATTAATCCATAACGCTCGAAAAAAATATCGTACTTTTGTTGATAATAGAAAAAAAAAAATAAGAATACATAATTTTGACTTGTAACTAACAAAATAATATATTGAAAGAGTAATGTTATATTTACACCACTCTTTTACACCATATTCATTATATCATGATATGACATATGCCACAACCACACAAATTTTTAATTATTTTGAATTTTTAATATTATAATAAAATTTGTGTGGTTGTGGTATATGTCATATCATGATGTAATGAAAATTATATAAAAGAGTGGTGTAAATGTAACATTACTCGTGAGAAATTTAGTAGAAATTTTGTAATTACGTATAAACAATTAATTAAAATATTATATTTTTGTTATTTTAACCAAAGATTCACAAGATATGACTAAAAGCCCCCCCAAATCAAAGGAATCCCTACATGAATCCCAAAAGTCTTGGATCATAACCATATATTACTTATTGTCTTATTCTAACTTTTAATAATAATAATAATAATAAATCATACAATATATGAATTTATTGTAATTTAAAATCCAATATTAGATGGAAAAACTTCAAATTTTTACTTAAAGAAACAATACTTAAAAAAACTTCTTTAACTGTAATTCTCGCGCCTTTAGCCTCAATAATATAATGTTATACAATTAATACCAGACCTCTATGCCACTGATTTTGTTGACCGATTAAAGTCAATCAATCCAACAGCCAAGATTTTCGCAAAAAATTAAACGGAATCTAACCATCGCGAGGCGGCCGGAGATGATCTCAAAGTCCTGACTCTTCTTCGAGCTCTCAATATAATCCGACAACGTTTCGAAAAACGGCGAAACTTCATCTCCACCGTCCTTTTTCATCTTCATCACTCCCGCTTTATCCGAACCGTACGATCTCAACGTGCACACACGCGGCTGCAAAACGATCTTATTGTTCCCGTTCTCAGCTTCTCCCACTTTGAGTCTCTGGATCTGAACCGGACCCACCGGCTGCTGTTCTTGACTGACGACTGCGGGCTTCTGGGAACCCAGTTGGCAGTGGATCACACGCGCCACTGAAGCCATAGGGAGGAGTGAGGAGAGAGAGAGGAGCTTTGATTTTTGTTATTACGGAGAGATTCCGAGAATCTTGGGCTTTTTGTGAATAGTTCTATTGGATTCTTCGTGGTGATTTATGAAGACACGCCGGCTACTATTTGTGAGATGATGGATTGATGTAATAAATGTAAATTTTATTTTATTTTTATTTTCGGATGAAATTTAGAAATTATTCAAATTAAGGTGTTATCAATTATTTTATACTCATTTTTTAGAAAATAATGTCTGAAATATGAACAATAAAATGTTTTTTATTTTTCTGTTTTCGAATTTTTATTTATGTAAATAATTAAATATCTGTATTTTGTGTTTTTATTTTTGGGAAATAGAAATAAAATTTAAATAAATATTACATTTTTAAAGATAAAATAAAAGATGAAAATATAAAATAATATCTGAAATAAATTTGGTTGATGTAATATTAAAAATATTGATAGAGTTAAAAATTACAATTACATATAAAAAATAAATTTTATAAAATTAAACTTAAGAAAATTTATAAATGCTTTATCTAAAAGCAGAGAATTTTATACAACACGTGGCGATTCTTTGTGGATTTTCATGAATTGATTTTGTTGGGTTCTTCGTGGTAGTTGAAGAATACACGTCGTCGGCTAGCGTTTGTGAGATGGTGGATCGACGGAGGTGGCGGGGCCGGTGAACACCTGGCTAGAGATGAGTCGTTGACGTTGTTGTTAAGGGAAAGGGTAAGTCATGATTGGCTCAGGCTGCTTTTAACATAAAAGTGATGGGTGGAAAATTATTTGTATGTGATAAATAGCCGGTTGATGAAAGAAATGTTTGTGGACTTTGTATAGATACGGTTTCCTATAAATAATAAAAAAAAAAAAAAAATAAATTTCGTATACATGTACGTTTCAAATGCACATTGTACAAATATTATACGTTTTATACATTATAACCAATCATTTATATATTTAATATTATAATAATAAGATAAATTCGAGCAAATATTACACGTGTTAGATTTAGACTATTACCTTTGATTTTAAGTGAGATTTTGACTTAATAGCATTTTGTAACGATGTCACAGAGACACTAGTTTTTATAAGCTGAGGAGTTTGTAATATCCAATTTTACCAACGGACCAAAGCTTAAGTCAAAGTAAGAAGCTTTGAATTCTCTAAACCAAGTAGTTTGGTTTTTTTCTATGAAAAAAGGTTTCGTGAAATCTAAAAGCTAAATTCATCCCGAATAAACTCAAAGTATATAATATCTACTTGATTGACCACACTTTCTCATTTCAATAACACATCTAATTCCAATCAATAGACAAACAAATAAAATTATTGTATACCATTTAAATTTTAAATCTAACAATGATTAATTTAAAGTTAATTAAAAACTCGATAAAATTCTTAGATCTATAACTAGAGCTAGAGATGGTAAATCATATAAACAAAAATTAATGAATAAAAAAAATTATTTTCTTTATTTCATGATAATTTGGAAAAATAGTGCATGGTAAATCTTCCCAGGAAAAATAAAATGATCTTCAATTGGTTTGAGCAGGAGGACCTTGGGGCACAGTTGGACGTTTTGGACCCCTTGCTGCTTTCAATTTGATTCCGCTGCTTTTCACTTCTACATTCTGTAAATTAATCATCAACTATAAAAACTTTAACGTTATTCTCTGCTCCAAACGTCCTGATATATATATATATATATATATTTTTTAAATCCGAATTTCTGTNCGGTGGTGGCCGGCTGTCCGTATTTGAGGGTGGATTGGGGGTGTTTTTGTTAACTTTTAATGTTTTATTATAAGGGGTGTTTTGTAAAAAAACAAACATAGGGGGTATTTTACAATTTGTAAATCCTACATCGTAATACCCGCCCAATTCAACTTTTTTTTTAACTTTTTTCAAAAAACTTTTCCCAATATTTTTTGTCTGAATTTTAGTTTTTAATGACAGTCGACAGTAATTAATGTCGACTAACTATGTTTTAAAAAAAATAGTGGACATTCACGAATTTATTTATTATTATTTTTTTAATAAGGTGTTCGGATCAGATTACGTGCACATCGACTAATCCTCAAGAGAAGTTATCCTACAACAACCTATCACCATGACCATCCAAGAAAATCCTGGTCAAATACGCTACTTTTGCGTTCATCGAAAAATCAAAACTGGGACTATGAATTTTACCCATTTGCAATCCTCTTAGTTTGCCCTCACCGTGAGCTACAGTGGGTAAATAGACATAAATAATACAAGCGATATCAAATAATTAGACAAATATGGATTTGATAGTGAAAAGAGAAATACTGCAAAAACTAACTGTACAAATGAAATAAATAAGAAGTATTATATAATATTACATAAATGGTAGATAAAACTATAAAAAAGATAATTATCACTGTCAAAAATTCCAAATAAATAAATTATCAAATGATTAGGTAGCAACTGAGAAGCAATCACTTTGATTAGAACATGAAATTAAAATACTGAAAAAGAAAAAGAAAAAGAAAAAGAAAAGAATGATAATAATTATGCAATGAATTATGAAACTTCTGAAATTGTTAAACAAGAATTCTTTTGTAAGCAAGGAATTTGATATATATTTTTTTTTCCTTTTGATAATAGTGATTAATTAAGCTACAATTAGTACCCAAAAAAGTAGTGGGTTATTGTTTATTTTGACAAACAAAAATTAATGACAATTAAGCAATATCAGTATAATTAGCAATTAGTAGGCCGTCAATTTGTGTTTGTCATCTTTCTAATACACCTTGTTGAGTGTCTTTATCCATCAATTTTCTGCTCTAGTCTTCCCATGACCTACACATTTACAAATTACAATCACTATTATCTCTTGGCAATATATCTCCATTGCTTTCAAGAGGATACCTCATGACGTTTACGAATCGACGACTAAAACCTGTCAAACCTAATTATCGTTTGATTGAATGATAGATTAACCATTCATGTGTCAAATCCTCACGAAAAATATACTAAGCTCAGGTCCATTATTCCCTTCTGGGCTTAGCATGTAATAAGTCTCTGAATCCTTAGAGCCCACGACCCGTTCGAAATGGGCTCGCATGTAGGCTAGCTCACCGTCCGAGCCTTCCACCTCGCAATTTCCGGGCAAGACCCCGCCACCCATGGAGACGGGCTTCAGGAGCTCCATGACTTGCAAATCATCCTCTAAGGCCTCTCTCTTGACTCCATAACCAGTTTTTTTCCCATTACAATACGTGGTCCATAATGGTTCTTCCAATAGCTTGGTCTTATCTTTTTCGGGCCGCTTGTCACACTCTAGGGCTATTCTAACCATACCTGTGCCCATTTCTTTTTGCAAAACATTTGTTTGCATGGCAAGCTCAAGAACTAGTGAAGGAAGACATTTAGGGTTTTCTTGAATAGAAAAACTTACCCTACCTTTACGGTACCCAAACAATGTCCCGGTAACCTTCTTGCCATTGGTTGAGCTGCTTCGTTGACCTTCAGATAAGCTTCCAAGAGTGACCGACATCTTACACATGGTTGGCGCAACGATGGGGAATGATCGAAAAACAGAGCGAAAGATACGAAATACTTTAGTAGATTTGTTTTTCTTCCTTTCAGAGGGTTGTACAAGGGACACAGGTTGGCGTGGAGGAGGCGGTTGTGGTGTTTGACAGTCATCATCAGCTGCAGTGGGGCTTTGGGGCTTGGCTTTAGCATTTGGTGACCCCATTGGTGAACGTTGATGATCCAAGAACAAGAAGGCCGCATGAGAGAGAGGCATACTCAAACACTCACACACGCAAAGAGAGAGAGAAAGGAGGGAGCTAGGAATATTGGTCGTTAAGTTAGGTACATTTTTTTTTTTTTTGTGGTTTCAGATTAATTTTTGGAGCCTATTTTTTTGGTCAATAATCCTATATTTGTGCTGGACTTGTTCTTACGATAATATTATGGTTTTAATAATTAATTTTTCAGAACCAAATTTCCTGTAATTTTCCTTTTTACAATTGGCAAAAGATGGTTAAATTTGTTGTTAAATCAAATGGTAACTAAACTATTAATTAATAAGAAAACATTATGCGCAATTACTTCTACATTTTGTATGTGAAGAAAACTAGTTTAAATCATTTAGAAGACCAATTTATTTATTTATTTTAAGAAATTTGTGAAACTAGCAGCCTCTTCTGTATTTTCTAATTTCTATTAATATTTTGATTAAAATTTCTAAAATGATTTTTAGTTATGGATAAATTCATTTATGTATATAGTTGAGGGCAAAATGAACTTAAAATTCTTTTAAAGATATTCTTCAAAGGAAAGATAAAATTTCAGTAATTAAAGTTTTAGAACATCCAAATTTCAAAGCCCCCTCTCATAATAATGTCAACCCATTAATAAATTTAATTAAGTATTTTATTTTTAAGAATCCAATGTTGAAACTTGAAAGTTTTAGTTATAAAATTTTTACAGTTTTACTTCAACATCGCATATCTGTTTTTCAGGGAAGATTTTCTCATTTTTAAAAGAGGATTAATTTTATTCTCTTTAGTGCTTAATTTATGTGTATAATTGAATATAAAAACATTTAGGCATTCTATAAAATTATATTTTATTTTGGTTTAATTACTAAATTTAATTATCGTAATAATAATATACTATGGAGTCACAACAATTTTATCAATATATATAGAAACTATAACTTATTCTCATATAATTCTATTTTAAAATGATACAACGAAATAAAATAAATGTTATATACTTTCTAGCGTAGCGGTTTGAATCCATGAATAATAACTCTCAAATCTATGAGAAGATGCCAAATCGACGACGAAATAACTCCGAAAAGGAGCCATTTGAGAAATTTTATTAATAATCTATTGACAATTGTTTGTAGGATAATAAGCCTATTTATAGTAAACTAACCAGAAAACAAAGATTAAATAAAATAAACTTTTCTAAATTAACTCAAATCCTAATTAAAATTAGAAAACCAAATAAGAAAAAAGGAAATAAATAAAATCCTAATTTTAAGAAAATCTATCCTACATCACTAACCCTAATACTACTACAAGAAGTAATAAAAAAATAGGAAAATTTGTCCTACATTAGAAAAATTATACATTCACATTTTTTTATTTAACTATACGTACCAACTTTTAATAAATGATTTATCAACTATTAATAAATATAAAAAGATAAAAACTAAATCAAACTTGTTTTAAGAACAGTACAAATTTGTCTTTTAATATAGTAACTCCAGAGGAGTTGTTTATAATCAATCACAATATCTAATGCAGATAAAATACTCTGCAGCACAACATATTAGATATATAAACAACATAAAATACAAAAAATCCATAACATGAAGCCAGAAAGAAACATTGAATTTTGCAAGCATCCTTAGAATACTACGAGTTGTCACATAATCCTGAAAATATCCTTAGAATACTACGAGTTGTCACATAATCCTGAAAATAGTAAACAATACACGTAAAAGATAAATACTTATTAATTGACGTAAAAGAGTAAAAAAAAAAAAAAAAAAAAAAATTGTTTTACTTACCCTGCATCTGTCTTTGAAAGACGAAAAGTAATCCTCTAATCCCTCAATGAAAATGAATTTCAACTTCTCCAGCAACCTAAATTTCATCATATATCAAACAAAATTAATTTAGCTAGAAGCAATTTTAAATATCTAAGAGAATTTTACGATTGAAATCACAGTGACAATCCTTGTAAGTTTTATCTTTGTTAATTTAATAGTAATAAGATAACTGGTTAAAGAAGTTACATTTAATATCAACTCAGCATCACTCATTATCGTTGGATCAACAAAGATGAACAGCTCATCAGAAGTGTCAAAATATTAAATCTATCCGAATATGTTAGAGCATGTTAGTGTTATTGATGGATCATCGTGAAGCGATCTATTCAATTCAAACATGCAATTTTCTTTTGGCCAAAAAAATTTTCCAATTGATAAATATAACGTAAAGGCCAAATCAGGAGTAGGTGAATGATTGTATTCTTTCCATCAATTCAGGTTGCTGATGGTCCTGCCATGTTGATATATTTCTTTTGATTAATTTGGAATTTTCGAAATTGCAAAAGAAAATATGTAAATTGGCTGACGAAAAGAAACTGCTGTGATGCCATATCGAGAAATAGTAATACATTATTTCATCAATAATACTTTGCGTTTTACTAACCAGTGTATTAATCTAAAGCATAGTACGAGTACCATACGCATAATACGGATACCATATATAATTTTAATAAAGGTTAGTACACTAGTTAATAAAATCCGTTATTACGCATAGCATTACCCTTATTTCATTACAAGAATAATAAGATTTTGCCGACCTGAGAAATTTGCAGACGTAAAAAAGTACTTATTAAATATAAATATTTTATTTATATATTATCTTGTAATATGGTTTACATGATACGCTAAAAAGAGTACAGTTTCAATTATATCTATAATGAAACAATAAAGAAGATATTTTCTAAGATATACAATGCTGGATTATGTTAAATTATATTAAACTTGATATTTTAACATTTCATAGTTTGATTTAACAATTTGATTAAAATATGCTGTTCTTGTCTTTATTATTTTTTATTGAGGACAATTATGTTAATTAACATGATTTTATGGTTATTTTGGTCTTTTAAACAAAACCTGGCNGTCAAGATTATCATTTTTTTTGGTTATAAATGCTATTATGAAAATAGATATTTTCTGTTGTTAGCATCAACCTGGTGGTAATTCAACTCTTCTTTTGGTTTACTTCATATCTTCTCAGTTTTCATTAAAAAATTTAAAAAAAAAAAAAAAAAAATGCATCTGTGATCAGAACCGGAAACTTTGTATGAATATGGGACTGCAGACATGCATCACAGGACTGAACTCTTTTGTTCTTCGATGTCATTTCAGGAGAAAATAGTCCAACTGCAGCAATTGCTGGGGGAGTGGCCGCTGGTGCTGCTTTACTATTTGCTGCTCTTGCTGTTGGTTTTGCATATTGGCGGCAAAGAAAACCAAGAGGATATTTCTTTGATGTACCTGGTTAGTGTCTGACTCCAAAAGAAACTCACCTTGATGTTTGATTTGGATTGCATTTTTACTTGGTGTGTGTTTTTCTCAGAGGATAAAGATCCAGAAGTCCAATTAGGACAGCTGAAAAGATTTTCTTTGCTAGAATTACAAGTTGCAACAAATAATTTTAGCGAGGAGAACATCCTGGGCATAGGTGGATTTAGTAAGGTGTATAAGGGACGGTTGGCTGATGGCACAGTGGTGGCAGTGAAAAGACTTAAAAAAAACCGAACACGTGATGGTGAGCTGGAATTTCAAGCAGAAGTGAAGATAAATAGCATGGTAGTGCATCGGCATCTCCTGCCTTTACGTGGTTTTTGCATGGATCCAACAGAGCGACTGCTTGTTTATCCATGTATGGCTAATGGAAGTGTTGCATCACACCTAAGAGGTATTGTTAATTAGTTCTTTCTCATCATTTAAATTGCATTTGTACTGTGAGATGTTCCTGAAAGAGAAAGACAAGTTGCATTCTGCCGGGGAACACCAATCATTCATGTTGAGGATTTGTTTGGATGTAAAATATTCTTCTTTTCTGCAGAAAATTAAAAAAATTGTATATTCACAACCATGGATGAGAATCTATATAACAATTGAGCCCACTGTCAAGATATTGTGAAATTTTCTCCTACCCACCTATTAAATAGTGAGGCTTAAAGTGCATTCCTCTTGATTTAACCTAGGACTTCATCCTTGGAAAGAAATCAGGAGTATCAATCAGGCTACTTCAATTGGTACCCTTGATTCCTTTTCCAGTAATGAAGTCATGGATTGGAATCAAAGGGGACACGCTCTAAGACCAATTATTTGAAAGGTGGGTAATCACAATATCTTGACAATAGGCTGAGGTGTTACAACCTAATCCAATGGAACCAGATGAATTCTTCTCTGCAAACTTATACTAACAATTGCGTGTGAATGCTTCAGTCTCCCCTGTCGTCATGCATCATCATCGTGTTATGCTAATTCACATAACATTGCTTTGTTTTACTACTTTAAAATTTCAACTCTAACTCATGACGTTGTTTTGTTATGTTCCTGCAGAGCGACCACCATCAGTACCACCACTTGACTGGCCGACTAGGAAGAGAATCGCACTAGGGTCTGCGAAGGGCCTTTCATATTTACATGATCATTGTCATCCAAAGATCATTCATCGTGATGTGAAAGCCTCAAATATATTGTTGGATGAGGAGTTTGAGGCTGTTGTCGGTGATTTTGGTTTGGCAATACCTATGGATTACGAAGATACCATTATCAATTCTAGGACCAGAATATCATGTAAAATACCTTATGCATTAATTGACTGCTAGAAAGTGTTTTAGGTTGTGAACTTTCATTACTGTAAAGGTCAATTTGGAACTTTAACTGGTTAATTTGTGAGAAACTTTCACAACTAGCTAGCGATGATCCCAGGAAAATATACAGCTTGCACTTAAAAGAATAGTCAATGTACTGGCCTGCTAATCCAGAGTTGTTGGATCTACTTTAAGAGGATAGTTTGCATTTCAATGTGCTTGCAAATTACTTGTGTTCTCTCAGGCATTCTGGATCACATCAATATCATGAACCTGCATATATCCACTACAAAATTGAGGCACTTAATCTTTAACATTTGTGTGTGCGCATGTGTGTATGTGCTGAATCTGCTATTCATAAATATCGTTATTCATTAGAACCTAAAAATTGTTTTTGGTTATGTCTAAGGATAGCCGGTCAGCAATAAACAGCCTGTCAGGTCCAATTCCTATGTCCTTGACGGCTATTAGTCTCTGGAAGTTTTGTGAGTGCCTAAGTAATATATTTTCTCTATTCTTCGTAATCCTTTTTGCCTATCAGTACTAACTTGGCTATATGATATAACATTAATTTTCCAATGTTGGCCGCAGAGACTTATCAAACAACCGCCTGTCAGGGCCTGTTCCAGATATGGCTCATTTTCGCTTGTTACTCCCATCAGGTTTTTCATGATAAAGGATTAGACAGCCTTTTTTTTGGCCTGTGAATGTGGTGCAGTAATGACATAGCTGATTTGCCCTTGCAGTTTTGCAAATAACTTGATCTGTGCGGGCCAGTTATTGGGAAGCCTTGCCCTGGATCTCCACCAGTTGCTTCACCACCTCCATTTGTTCCACCTGCAACGGTTTCTTCTCCAGGTCTCTGTACCACTAGTGACTTTGTTTTTGTTATGTCTAGAGTAAGGTTGTCAAAGATACTTGTTCTTTTTCAGGTTTGGATGATCCTGGTGGCTCATTCTTCATCAAACACCTCTGCAAGCATGGAAGGTCTTCACTTTTGCTTTGTGTTATTTTTTGTTGTTATTGGTGTTGTATTTGCTTGAAAGAATTTAGTGTAATTTAATGTTTGTCAACCCTTGGGTTGTTTCCCCTTACAAGCCAGTTTTAAGGTGAGTTATACCCAATGGATTCATGGGGCTGCTACTCGTGTATTATTTCATTGTAAGCTTAAAGACGTTAATGGCTGAGAATTTGTGATTGACTGCTGCTTTTGCATTTGATATTCAGAAATTCTTTTGGCTAATCAAAATGTTATTTTGACCGGCCCTATTCTGTTCTGCCCCAAATATGATATTAACTGGCCTTCTTTGTAGAATTTAAGCTGAATTATGTAGTTGCGGCTTTTTGTGTAAGCAGGTGATGCTTTGTATAGCCTCCGGTCGAATTTACTAGATCCTAACAATGTTCTGCAGAGTTGGGACCCTAAGGTTGGGAATCCATGCACTTGGTTTCATGTTACATGTAACAGTGGAAACAGCGTTACAAGAGTGTAAGCAACTCCATTAATTAACATCTCTTTTAAGAACAAGAAAGCATGAGTGTCATGATGTTCCTCAAATATCTTTTTGTCTCTATCAGTGATCTTGGAAATGCAGCATTATCTGGTGAATTGGTCCCAGAACTTGGCCAGCTAAAAAATTTACAGTACCTGTAAGTCATAAATGGGGTTGCCTTAGTGCTTTTCGTTACATTGAAAATAATTTCAGTTGAATAAAACCTTTGCTGATAGCTTTTTTGTAATGTCAACATAACAACAATCATGGTAAAAAGCCAGTGATAAACTGATACTCAGCTAACTGAAGCTCAAGCCTCAATACCTAATTAGTTGCCCTAGTGCGTAAATCTATTTCCTCTATTCCATTGGTCCATCCTTTATATTGTTGAATCCAATTAGGATTTACATACATGTTTGGCACCAGTTGGACGTTTGGAACACAAAATATTAGCTTATAAATTTTGTTAACAGAGAAAAAACAGAGAACAAAATAATTCTTCTGTTTTATTATTTTCTCCACTGTTTGTTGTACTCTGGAATGTACCCTTATATACAATATCATTGTACAGCTAACTGCTAACTATATGCAGAACTACTTCTTGTATTCTCTAACAGGTTTCGAGCCTGCTGGTTTATACAAGCCTCTCAATCTTTCAGCACCCTTTTTATGTGAGACTGTAATCTAATTTGTATCTTCTGATTCAGGAGTGGGCATCCAGACATTTTGATTTAGTTTCCCATTTATTAGGAATTACCCTGTATCCTATTGGTCATCTGATCACTACTCTTAGAGATTTTATATCAGCTAATTCTGCTTGCATTTACTCTTATGTGTTGTGCCTTCCACTGCCCGTAGGCCTTTTTGGCTGACCTCTTCCCCATTAACCCGCCATATCCAACAAATTAGGTTATACCCACAAAATTAATTTTTTTTCCCCTCGTGATTCAGGACATCACTTTTGCCATAAGAAAATAATTATGCTGTAAGATTCAGCACTTGCTTACTCTGCTTTCTTTCAAAATTAAAATGTCTTCATGCTCCTGGATTGCAATGATTCTATGAAGTTCAATTTTTCAGCAGAAAAGTTGTTGATTGCTCCTATTGATGCAGTCTCATGTGCATCAACAGTTCTTTTAAAACATTTCTACACATTTTACCTTTAGTTTTTCCTTCACATTTCTAATGTCATTCATACTTAAATTCTCCACTTCGTGCCTGTCTATTAACTTAGTTTATCTCTAACATTATTACATAAAAATTCGCTACAAAATTGTGTACTAATGCAAATATTTTCCTTCTATGGATCTTACATATGACAGGAAACTTTTTAGTAACAACATAACTGGACAAATTCCTGGTGCTCTTGGGAATCTGACAAATTTGGTGAGCTTGGATCTTTACCTGAACAGTATCACTGGTCCTATTCCTGACTCATTGGGCAAGCTGACGAAACTGCTTTTCCTGTATGATCACTTTCCCTGAAGTTAAGATTATTATTTATTTGAGATCATTCATTTTCTTGGTTGTTAACTTTGTTTAGTTCTTTCTTAGAAAGCTTATTGCTTGCTCAGCAGCTGCAACTTTGTGCATAATATGTGGCATATGTGTAGATATATACAAATTGTTTTTTTTATTGTACATGAAGAAGATTAGTAAAAGTGAAATGTCAACCAATTCACACTACGTTCTGGATATGTTGAGTGTTTGATAAGAGTTCGAACTTGTTAGCTTGACTGAAGTGAGTTGATTGTTGAGTGACTGAAGTTTGTCAATGAAATTTCCAATTTGGTTGGAGAAGTTTGTGAGGTTCTCTAAACGAGAGCTACATATATACTGAACTTTACCATTACCATGGTTAAAACAAAAACAGATCTTATGTACAGATATGGATATCAAATTCTAGTAGACCAGAATATCATGTAAAATACCTTTATGCATTAATTGACTGCTAAGAAAGTGTTTTAGGTTGTGAACCTTTCATTACTGTAAAGGTCAATTTGGAACTTTAACTGGTTAATTTGTGAGAATACTTTCACAACTAGCTAGCTAGTGGATCCCAGGAAAATATACAGCTTGCTCTTAAAAGAATAGTCAATGTACTGGCCTGCTAATCCAGAGTTGTTGGATCTACTTTAAGAGGATAGTTTGCATTTCAAGGTGTGCTTGCAAATTACTTGTGTTCTCTCAGGCATTCTGGATCACATCAATATCATAGAACCTTGCATATATCCACTACAAAATTGAGGCACTTAATCTTTAACATTTTGTGTGTGCGCATGTGTGTATGTGCTGAATCTGCTATTCATAAATAATCGTTATTCATATATATTAGAACCTAAAAATTGTTTTTGGTTATGTCTAAGGATAGCCGGCTCAGCAATAACAGCCTGTCAGGTCCAATTCCTATGTCCTTGACGGCTATTATGTCTCTGGAAGTTTTGTGAGTGCCTAAGTAATATATTTTCTCTATTCTTCGTAATCCTTTTTGCCTATCAGTACTAACTTGGCTATATGATATAACATTAATTTTCCAATGTTGGCCGCAGAGACTTATCAAACAACCGCCTGTCAGGGCCTGTTCCAGATAGTGGTCATTTTCGCTTGTTACTCCCATCAGGTTTTTCATTGATAAAGGATATGACAGTTTTTTTGTTTTTTTGGCCTGGATGAATGGTGCAGTAATGACATAATTGCTGATTGCCCTTGCAGTTTTGCAAATAAATAGATCTGTGCGGGCCAGTACGGGAAGCCTTGCCCTGGATCTCCACCAGTTGCTCCACCACTCATTTGTTCCACCTGCAACGGTTTTCTCTCAGGTCGTCTCTTGTACCACTAGTGACTTTGTTTTTGTAAGATTATCATTTTTTTTTGGTTATAAATGCTATTATGAAAATAGATATTTTCTGTTGTTAGCATCAACCTGGTGGTAATTCAACTCTTCTTTTGGTTTACTTATATCTTCTCAGTTTTCATTAAAAAATTTAAAAAAAAAAAAAAAAAAATGCATCTGTGATCTGACCGGAAACTTTGTATGAATATGGGACTGCAGACATGCATCACAGGACTGAACTCTTTTGTTCTCGATGTCATTTCAGGAGAAAATAGTCCAACTGCAGCAATTGCGGGGGAGTGGCCGTGGTGCTGCTTTACTATTTGCTGCTCTTGCTGTTGGTTTGCATATTGGCGGCAAAGAAAACCACCAGGATATTTCTTTGATGTAGCTGGTAGTGTCTGACTCCAAAAGAAACTCACCTTATGTTTGATTTGGATTGCATTTTTACTTGGTGTGTGTTTTTCACAGAGTATAAAGATCCAGAAGTCCAATTAGGACAATTGAAAAGATTTTCTTTGCTAGAATACAAGTTGCAACAAATAATTTTAGCGAGGAGAACATCCTGGGCATAGGTGGATTTAGTAAGGTGTATAAGGGACGGTTGGCTGATGGCACAGTGGTGGCAGTGAAAAGACTTAAAAAAAACCGAACACGTGATGGTGAGCTGGAATTTCAAGCAGAAGTGAAGATAAATAGCATGGTAGTGCCTCGGCATCTCCTGCCTTTACGTGGTTTTTGCATGGATCCAACAGAGCGACTGCTTGTTTATCCATGTATGGCTAATGGAAGTGTTGCATCACGCCTAGAGGTATTGTTAATAGTTCTTCCTCATCATTTAAATTGCATTTGTACTGTGAGATGTTCCTGAAAGAGGAAGACAAGTTGCATCTGCCGGGGAACACCAATCATTCATGTTGAGGATTTGTTGGATGTAAAATATTCTTCTTTCTGCAGAAAATTAAAAAAATTGTATATTCACAAACCATGGATGAGAATCTATATAACAATGAGCCACTGTCAAGATATTGTGAAATTTTCTCCTACCCACCTATTAAATAGTGAGGCTTAAAGTGCATTCCTCTTGATTTAACCTAGGACTTCATCCTTGGAAAGAAATCAGGAGTATCAATCAGCTACTTCAATTGGTACCCTTGATTCCTTTTCTAATGAAGTCATGGATTGGAATCAAAGGGGACACGCTCTAAGACCAATTATTTGAAAGGTGGGTAATCACAATATCTTGACAATAGGCTGAGGTGTTACAACCTAATCCAATGGAACCAGATGAATTCTTCTCTCGCAAACTTATACTAACAATTGCGTGTTGAATGCTTCAGTCTCCCTGTCGTCCATGCATCATCACGTGGTATGCTATTCACATAACATTGCTTTGTTTTACTACTTTAAAATTTCAACTCTAACTATGACGTTGTTTTGTTATGTTCCTGCAGAGCGACCACCATCAGTACCACCACTGACTGGCCGACTAGGAAGAGAATCGCACTAGGGTCTGCGAAGGGCCTTTCATAT